AGGTGCGCTTTTAGCTTGATAATTGTTATTCGTTATAATAGTAGTAACTGGAGATCTTAAATCTAAGCTTGACGACGAACTATGTGAAATATATGGTGGCTTATTAACGCTTGTTAACGCTTCATCTACTCCAAATTTAGAATATTCTTTCCTAGTTAATTGATTCTCAAACTGATATAATCTTAAAGCTGTTACGGCCTGTACGTGCTGTAATTCAACTGCAATATCAACCGGAACCTATAACGAAATAATCATCCTTTTTAATAAAAAAATTTTCAAATGATTATAATTAATAATAATAAATTTAAATAAACCATTACCTTTCCTTTTCTGTCTTTTAAGTGGATATCAGCGTGCCTCTTCATTAAAGTTAATAACAATCTAGAATTATTTGTAGCTGCAGCATGGTGAAGCCCACTCCATCCATCATTATCTACTTCATTGATATCACAAAACCATTGAAGTAAAAATTCCACCGAAACATTGTCGTTCCTTAATATTGCTTGATGCAAAGCTGTAGTAGAATTTCTCTCCTCATTCTTCCAATCAACATTAGCCCCGAGTGATAAATTTTTCAAAGCCTCGTAAATATTTGACTCGGACATAGCATTCCAAAATGACTTTAATAAATACAATATTAATATAGTGTAGATAGAATTATCGAACCTATAGAAGCTTTGCTTATATTCTTACCAAATCCACTGAAGCTTCAATTTCATCCTCTTTAGAAATTTTAAACACCTTCCTAACATATTTTTCTGTAATGAAATCCTCTCTCTCGGCTCTAAAGAAAAAAATAAAATAAAAATTACTGAAAGAAATAAATAATTGAAACCTAATTCCAAGAATATACCTTCCCCAAGAAGTTGAATTAGTCGTGATGATTTCATGGTCACCGGAAAGTTTTGCTTCATAAATTGAGTTTGTTTTCAAATTTCCTAATTTAAGCATAACTCCAAGCGACTCCGGTTCCCATTTATCCAACATTAATGACCTAACCTTACTAATGTGGACACCCAAACTACGGTGAATACCAGAACATTCTATGCACAACAACGTGCCAAAATTTGTACTCGCCCATTGTGGATCTATTAAAAAAATTTTTTTTTTTTTAATCAATATCATCATCAGTTAATTTTACAGTATATAATTTTTTTTTTACCTTTTGATCTACAATCAACACAAACGTCATTTCCTGCCAATTTCTTTATCCGCATAATGGATTTTTTTGATCTACTTACATGACCATTAACTCCACTTTTTGAATTATGATCATTAAAATAAGTATCCTGCAGTGCTTCCTAAAAAAGACAAATTAATTAATTAAAATATATAAAGCAGCATAAAATATCACACAAAGAATCAACCATCCACATACTTGCAATTTATCTGAACCATCTGCCACGAATATTGTAAATGAATCAGAATATAGTGAGTATTGAGCCGCTGTTTGTAAACAAAATATCCAATCTTCCATATCTTTCTGGTTCTCAGCTTGTAGCGTACAAGTTCTTAAATCCGAAAAATTTAAATCAACAATTTAACATAAAATTAAAATCCCACTTTCTTTTATATTAGAAACGACTACTTACTTATTTGGAGAAATTATCTCAAAACAAAACCGTCTGTCTAGACTATCAACAGGTTTAATATGACAAAGACGTAATATTATAGATCCCATCTCGTTTTCTTCCTTTGAATTCAAGCAATAAAGTTTAATATAAAAATTTAAAACTTGATTTTTAAAAAAAATCTTTTGAATTAGCTCATACTTTTCCTCCTCTACCGACGCAAAATAATTGTCCATTTGAAATGAAAAAATATTTACGAGTCCATGTCTGCATGACTCGTTGATTTCTTTTCATAAATAAATATCCAGATTTTGTCACAGGAGAATAATTCTCTCCTAAAGACACAAGATCTTTTGTAGATTTTTTATAAGAATGTAATGGATTATATGATTCTTTGGATTTCTATGAATATACGATAGATTAAAATTTATGACATATTCTCATTCAACAATTAAAGAAATATCTTTACCTCCAAAATCGATTTTTTTATATTTCGGGAATCTTTAACGTCTTTGTTATATTTTGTTCTTGACTAAATAAACAAATCAAGATATGAGCATGCTGCCAGGAGAATCAAGTTATGAAACAAAGTACACTTTATAAGATATTGTTTACCTCGTGAAGCAATCCTATCCAAACATAAAATCATCAATGAAAAATAATAAAATCGGCATCAATATTTTAATTTCAATCATGATAAAAAAATAATTATTCTCACTTGTTACATCTTTCATATGATTTTCCATATCTTTCAATATTTCGTAACATTGATGATAAAATGATGATTCTGTAAACATCAAAGCTAAGATCTAAATTAAAATGTATGTTAATAATATATGATCTAATGATTTCAATACCGATAATCAACGTAATAGACCCATACATATTCAATAAATTCAAACTTTTTCTTTGCCTCCAACTCATTTATCTTGATTACATAATTAAGGCATCGGTCATGAAATTCTTTTCGAGTTTCTGAAACTTCTATGGATGCCTTAAAAAATTATTTTCAATAAAGTATTTCGGGAAAAAAGGAATCAAAATCTAAATCATACTAATGCATATTATACCTCTGAAATTGTTATATCTCTAGGTCGTTTGCTCATATATTTAGAAAGTGCAGAATCAACTTCGTAACTTGCCTTTTCCGTGGCTTTTTTCATATCCTAGAATAGAATTATAAATATCACATGATTTCTCTTAAAACTTATTTGTGAAGAACATTACCTTTAATGGTATTATTTCATTTTTAGCAAATGCCTCCAATGGTTCTATAAACATGTCATACATATGCGATTGCTTAAAATAAAATGAATTTAATAAGATAAATAAATGTCAATCAAAGAGAAATATGGAATATTTTTTTCTTACGAGAATTTTTCGACTTCTTTCAACTTCTTGGAGTGAATTCGCATATTTTAGTAAAACAGTTTCTATTTTTTTGAAATAAAATGTTTAAAAAGGACTAAATAATGATTATAATATTAGGGAATTTTCTTACTCACTGATAATGGATTCGGGTTGTTGTTTTGCAAAATTTCCAAATTCTTCGGCGAACTTTAGTTGTTTAGCCGTATATTCTATCAGACAGTCCGGAATGAATTCAATTAAAACTTTAATTTTATCTATACAAGTAAAAATTCGTAAATTTACCAGATGCAAGTTCAACACTAGCTCTTGCTAATTTGACGAAATTCTTTATAGTAATTTCAAGTCCAAAAACCGAATTTTCACAATCCGATATTTCTTTACGAAAATTCGGCGGATCTTCTAAACATAAATAAAGATTTAAGGGTGTTGTCATATTTAATTTAAATTAATAAATATCCTAAAAACTATAAAAAATTTAAAGATAGCAATCGTTACCATACCATAGCAAAAAGTATGGAGAAGATCCGATAAAATCTGATTGGTTGTGACAAATTGGTGCTTATAAAATGCCTTTTTTTTACCACTTTTTTTTTCGCATTTTACATCGACTCCAAAAAAAAAACTACGCATTTAATTAATTATTTTTGTAAAAAACTTCCTAAAATAAAAGAATGGCAAAACATCATCCAGATTTGATTATGTGCCGTAAACAGCCAGGAATTGGTAAAGTAACAAAAAAATGAATCTAATTTTTATGTAATAAGGGTTAAAAAAAAATTTTTTTTTTTTTTGATATTTCAGCAATCGGTCGTTTATGCGAGAAATGTGATGGAAAATGTGTTATTTGTGACTCGTAAGTAAAATGTCCTTTGCTACTTTTTTTCTACCTTGCTGTTATGTGATAAATTATTTATTTATTCATTTAAGATATGTGCGACCGGACACTCTTGTTCGGTGAGTATTCTTAATAAATTAAAGAAAGTTATTCATAAGACTTTATTCTTAACCTTGCTTACATTTCTGGAATGTTTTAATAGAATTTGTGATGAATGCAATTATGGATCTTATCAAGGTCGTTGTGTGATCTGTGGTGCACCAGGTGTTTCAGATGCATATTATTGTAAAGAATGCGTTTTACAAGAGAAAGATGTAAGATTGTATTTTTTTTCTTTTCCTTTTATCCTTTTTTCATCAAAATACTAAAAATCCTATTTGAATATAGAGAGATGGATGTCCAAAGATTGTTAATCTGGGATCTTCGAAAACAGATCTATTTTATGAACGGAAAAAATATGGGTTTAAGAAAAGATGATATTTATTTTTTTTTTTGGTGTGGCGTGGTGTATTACGTTTGGGATAAACTTTTTTGTTTGGAAGGAAATTTACTGAATTTTTTTTTATATCTAACAACATCACATTGCAATAATCACAACTCTGTAAATGTAAGTGAAATTCTATATCAAATTGTTTGTTTATTGGAAATTTTAGTTCTATTCTTTAAGAGCTGCATTTTGCTTTCAGATCAAGGAACAACTGTAATATTGAATATCTGTAATAGAATATATTAGAATAGAAGATAAACCTTAATTGATAATTTTTTTGTACTCAAATACACAAAAATCTTTGGAAAGAAAAGATCCGTGATTATACATTAAATTCGTGTTCCCGAATCTAAACTCTAAATTTCTTTGGAGAAAAGTATGGCATTAACTTATTAGTATCTCTAACTGTTATATTCGCTGACGGATTTCTGAACTCCTAAATTATTATTCCTAATCATGTTTGTTGTGAAAATTCTCGTCTACATAACGTGATTTATCCAAATATCGACTTTGCCTAAAAGCCACAAAGCGTGAACCTAAACAAGTTATAATTCTTGTTAATATTTACTTTTTCAACATAACCGAATTTTTAAATTGAAACTGAGGGCTTTTATTACCTAAAGTAATTTTTTCCTTGATAATTTTGCTTTTACCGAGAAAAATGGTTATAGATAGTTTCAGCAAAAAAATAAAATGAAAATAAAAAAAAAATCTCTTTTTTCTTTTCTTCGATAAAATGTCAGATTATTCGGAGGGTGAAAAAACCGTTGAAATCTCAGTAATTGATTCGGTTGGATATTTAATAAATTTACTTGATTATATAACCTCGTAAAAATCGTTTGATTTTGATCATTAATTGATTTGCAATTATATCTATTTTAAATAGCAATATAAAGATAAACGATCACAAAAAGCTTTGGTATATGATTTTGATGAAGAATTGGATAAGATTAAAATAACGATACTTGAAATAGAGAAACATCGTAAACTTCATTTATTAAATGATGATGTCAAATTATATGATGAAATTTGTTTATGGAAAGGGTCTAATCCAGAAGCGTCACTTGCAACAGCAATTGAAAATTTTGGTAATTTAAAATCCATTTTTCAACTATAGTTTGCAGCTTTATGATGACATCACGCGATTTATTTTTTATTTTTTTTAAAAAAAATAGCAAAATTTAAGACAGCGGACGCAATTGCAAAAGTGATTTACAATTATGAATTTCCCGATTTCATAATCAAATTTAATGAAAAAGGAGATAAAGTAACCAAGAGAGAGATTAATCAGCTTAAACGATTAAATTTTGAAAAATTACTACTTCGTGCCGGATTAATTCTTGAATTCGAATTAGATTCAGATCGTGTTTTCACTTATATAAAAGTTATTGCACCTTTTGAAAAATTATGCAACCAAGCGGAAAAACAAAAACTTAAAATGGCAATAACTGTAATATGCGATCTTATCCGTTTTTGGTTTTGATCAAAAAAAAAAATTAACGCATTTATTTAAATTTTTCTAGACTAAGATAACGAAGTTTCCCAAGCGAAGATTCAATTTATTTTCTTCGATCGCATATATGTTTGTTTATAAAGTGGACCTTAACAAAAAATCTGCCGTTTTTAAAAAAGATCGTTTACAATCTTTTGAAGGTAGTGATCCTTCTAAAACTGAAGGTGAAATTAGATTAAATTTCTTTAATTCGGCAAGACGAATTTTAATGGTGCGTATTTATTCCATATTTGAAAAAAATTTTTTAAAAAAAATTTAACTTTTAGCCTTTATTAGGTTCATAATATAATAAATTGCGCAGCTCAAATTAATCATCAAGTAAACGTAGATGGAAAACTTGTCACAGTTAGGAGAACAATAAAATCATTAGCAATTGAAACTTTATTACATAAAAAAGTTTTCCGTGATTTTTATTCATTACACGATGGTCCAATTAAATCTAAATTACCTTTCAATCAAATGAATTTAAGAGCAAAGTTGGATCAAAAATGGGTTAAATCAAAAATCAGACCTCAGCCTTTAAAAGAAATTCGCAATTACTTTGGTGAAAAATTGGCTTTATATTTTGCTTGGCTAGGTAATGTAATGCTTATTCAATTAAACCTTTTTAACAATTACGCGACGCGTATTTAAATAAAAAATAAATTCGTGTAGGATTTTATACATCGTGGTTATCGATAGCAACGTTCGGGGGCTTCATTGTGGTCTTATACGGACTAGTTGAAATATTAAGGTATTTAAGCCTGCTTTTTTTAGACGTTTTATATAAAACATTCTTAACGTTATTTATTTGTAGACACGAAACGTTGAATGATGGAATTGGGGGATTTTCAATTTTATATGACAATGTACTTACAGTTCCGTACGCGTTTATCATGGCAGTTTGGGGTAAACAAGTAAAATTTATGATATGGTAATTCTGAAAACGTAGAAATCAATTGATTTTTAAATTTTATTATTAGCCACGTTCTTTTTAGAGTACTGGAAAAGGACCAATGCTGCAATTCAGCATGAATGGGATTGTTTTGAATTTGAAAAAGAAGTTTGTAAAGTTTTGTGTTTATATTGATATATCATAAAATATTCATTTACGTAACGTATATTCAATAGGAACTTCCGAGACCAAAATTTTATGGAACAGGTTTAATTGCCTTTTTTTATGATTAATAATAATAATTTAACATGTAGAGTTAATTTGTTTTATTTTGCATTATCGTAGTCCTTGTGAAATCACCAATTACGATGAAAGATGAAATTGAATTTCCGTTCTCAGCAAAATTCAAAAGATACCTTGTATCAGTTGTAGTAATCTTAATTTGTGTAAATACTATGAATCAATCATTTTCTCCATTATTCTTTCGCTTTATATTGCATTTACCCTTTTATTGCTGTTATTAATATTTTTAGATGTTGGTAGTCTTGATTTCCGTAGGATTTTTCATAATTTACCCAAAACTATGGATTGAAGATGATGTCTTGGCATTTTTCGCGTCAAGTGTCGCTAATTTAATATCTATTATCATATTAAATACGGTACATAATTTGCATCGCGTTATATTTGAAAAAAAAATATTTATTATATAAATACTTGTAACTCAATTTGTATTCGTGATATGTAGTTATATTCTTACGTAGCAGTATGGTTAACGGATCTTGAAAATCATCGAACCGAAACCGAATATGAAGGTACGTTGATTTTCTTTATCCTCAAAAGTTCTTAACTAAATTAATATGTTATATTTTTATTTTTTTTCCTTGATAGACGCATTAATTCTAAAGACATTTATTTTTGAATTTGTAAATAATTACGCGGCATTATTTTATATTTTTATATTTAAGCAAGGAGTAAGTTCGTTCCTACATGGTCAGATTGAAAATTAGAACGATGAATTCAATTACTTTTTCTTTTAATAGTTGTTGAAAACTATTATTCATAGTAATAGCATACGATCACAGTGTGATTATGATAATTGTATGACGGACTTATCTATACAACTTGCAATTATTTTCGTCGGAAGACAAGCATGGGCGCAATTCACGGAAATATTTATTCCGTAAGTAGTGAATGGAACAATCGAAATCTTTTAAATCATACATGAGAAACTTTTTTTTTTGAAATCATTTTAAAATCAAAATCGTATAGATGGATGAGACTTAAATACAATAAGAAGAAAAATCAAGAAGAGCTGAAAGAATTACAAAAAAAATACGCTGCATCAAGCCATTCTAATATACCACAATGGGTGACGGATGAGAAATTATTAAAAACGGACTCAGTACAAGTAGAGTATACCGAATTGATACTACAATTTGGTTTCCTTACATTATTCGGTTCCGCATTTCCCCTGGCATCATTATTCGCTTTTTTAAATAATATTTCGGAAATTAGATCCGACGCATTTAAGGTAAGTTGGGCCGGGCCTCCTTTGATAAAATAAAAGGATTTCGATTTGATAATTTTTTTTTTTTTCTTAAAAAAAAAAAAAAAACCAATTTAAATAAATCATTGTAGTATATACATTTATCGAGAAGACCATTTTGTGGCCAAGCACAGGATTTAGGAACTTGGGAGCCAATCTTACAATTGATTTCCCTAATATCAGTATTAACAAATGCGATAATAATTGCATTTTATTCAACTTGGATGACTGACAAATTTGAAAAACATCTTGGTCAAAATAATCCCGATAGGTTATTAGTCGCTCGACTAACTTTCATCATTCTATTCGAAGTAAGTGTTTAATTTAAATCTTCGATTTCTGGAAATTTAAATGATTCTAAAAACAATTTTTACTGATGAATAATCCCTTTTGATTGAATTGATTAGCACCTTGTATTTGGAATTAAAACAATATTTACATATATTATACCAGATGTACCAAAAGAAGTACGAATAGCTATTGAAAGAGAACAATATAATATTAAGTTACAATTAAAAGACAAATCTCCGGTATTAGATGAAATTTTTGTTACTAAAAAAACATAAATCTACTTCTAAACTTAGAAGAAATAAGACCGATCATATATTTATTTATTTATTTATTAATATTGGTTTGTAAAATCTTTTTAAATGGTTATTGATCAATGAAGATGCGTAACCTTATTTCTTGACTAGTAACTAACGATAAATTTGTTTTTTTTTTATTCTAAATTAAAAATAAATACTAATAAAAAAAAAAAACTATATAAAAAAATAATTTATGATTTGATTAAACTAATTAAATTTATTACCGATCCAATACTGTGACCAATCTCTTCGCGCTTTCTTTACCTATTGATTTCGATAAAAGGTTTTGTTTTTTTTGTTTTTTTTTATTTCAAGTTCACTAAAAAACAAAGTCCAACATAAAAAACATAAAACTTAAAAAAGTATAAAATCATTAATTATTATTAGTAATATAAAAGGCTTTATGTTTGCATAAGAACAACCTACTTGAAAAATAGGTGTTCTCGTAAGAAGACCTCTTATACAGATCAAACTTCTATCTTCTGATTTTCACCGATATTAAGACTTTTTGGAGTGTTTCCGAATTTATTCGGAGTTCTAATATAGCCCCAAATCAAGATCTCTCGTCGTGCAACATATATATATAATGTTACATAATAATAATAAAAAAATTTTTTTTTGTAGAAATATTATTATTATTATTATTTTATTAAGTCTATTATTATTATCTCATGCTGACACATAATACATCAAGCCATTTTGAATGACAATTATTTTAATGTCTTTAAAGGACTATCAAATTTAACCAGCACATAATTTAAACCGACTGTAAATCCAGATAATAAATGTTATACGTTAATTGCGTGGTGCACGCTTGGTGCGCATTCTTCTAATTTTTCTTTGAGCCGTTCCTTGTGGAGCAGCATCAGATCCGCTATGAAAACTAAACATCGAGGGATTGATTGTATTTGGACTAATACAAATACTTTCGCTAGACATATTAAAGCCTTGGTTTTGGTTTGGAACCATTGGATTATTATTGCTAAATCCTTGGCCACTATTACCATTTACGCCAAAATTAAAGTTTAATGAAGGAGGATGGGATAAACTTTCTTGTTGATATGGCATCGTCGGTAAATCATTTTGTTGTGATTGGAACAAGTTATTTTGGTGACCATTTTGTGTCATTTGATTTTCGAAATTAGATAAACTTGGTGCTCCAAATCCAGTAAATCCAGTTGATGCATTAGAACTTTGGTTCGCACCAAAGATACTTCCAGAATGAACTGAACTTGTACTGAACCCGGTAGACGCCACATGACTTGAATTTCCAAAAGTAAAAGTAGTTTGACTCGCACCAAACATAAAATCTGATGGACTCGTACCAAACGAAGTTATTACATTAGAACCAAACATAGGACCAGATGATGATGATAATGTTTGCTGCGTTTGGATTTCATTAAAATTAAAGGATGGCTGAGACGGTGTCTGTGTATTAAATAATGATGTTGAAATTTCTGGCTTTGAGAAATTAAATTGTCCAGATGTGGAAACAAGTAACCTATTTGAATTTTGATCGACCGAAGTTGTTTTTTGATTTGATAACGTATTTTCCGAACCTGATCCAGAAGTTCCACACGAACGTTTATTCTTTTTGAACCGAGTCGTAGACTTGTATGGTTTTGTAGATTTGTCTGATTTTCCATTATTGTCTCCATCATTCGAAACATTCGAAAACATTAAATTATTACTAAATAATCCACTAGTATCAAATTTAAAGGGTTGACTCGTGGAAGGAGTTGGTGCAGCTGTAGAACCGAAAAAATTTGCCGTAACAGTAGTTGGTGTAGCTGTTGAATCAGGTTTCGAAGCAAATGCCGGACTTAATGGCAAATTTTTATTATCTATCGGCAAATTTGTAGAGAAAATTGAAGGAGCTGTTGTGTTAGCTCCCAGACTGTTCTGAAACTTTAAAGCTGGATTTTCTTGCGGTTGAGGCTCGATTGCTTTTGTTATTTTCTCCTCGTCCTTTCCGCCATCTGCTTGGGATTTCCCTGTTTCTTTTATATTTTCTAATGATAGAGTGGTTGTTGGTACAAATTGCTGGGCCTCTTCCTTCAAGTTATTTGAAACTAGAGGAGCAAAAGGCTTTGAAGGTATAAGATGATCCTTATTGGTATTAAACAACGAATTAATGCTACCACTATCAATATCTTTTTGCTCATTGGTTATAGGTGTTGATTGAGCTAGTTTTTGTGGAAATTCAGTTAACGAAACCTTTTTTTCAACATTTTTTGTGGAATCAATAAATAAAGATGTAGAAACTTGTTCTTTATGGTTATCATTAACAATTAAAGGAGCTGGCTTATCAACCAATATGTCATTATTAGATTCAGATAATAAAGGCAACGGACTCTCATTATCAACAGGAACTGTCTTGAACCAAGGCGTAGATTGTCGTGTTTCTATTTTATCTTTTGCGGTTGAATTCGCAAAATGGTTATTCACAGATGGTGTTGGTGTATCATTATTCTCGGTTTCATGAGTAAACTCAACAGACTCCATTGAAGAAGGAGATTTTACGTTCTGTGAAGTGGTGACTGGAGTAGTTATATTATTTTCTTTGTCCTCCATTGTAATAGAAATTTCAGCGACAGGTGATAACTGTGACTGATTTCCAATATTTCCAATTGGAGGGAAGGTCGTGCTGGATGTCGATGCTATGATGAATATATTATTAATATTCGATATATTGTTTCAATGTAAAAATTTCAAAATAATAATAATAATAATATTTAAATTCTAATATTTCATTCTTACCTAAAACTGGCGGTGGTAGAATAGAAAAATAATTTTGATCTTTCACCGGACTTATACGATTAGTTGCAGTTGATATTTTCTCAATCGGCTTAATTTCCAAATTTACATTTTCTGCCTTTTCTTTACCCTTTTTGCTTCGATGTAATACTTTGTCTTTTTCAATAGTTTTTTCTTCAACCTTTCTCTTTTCAACTATGTTTTCAGTTCTTTTTCTGTCAATCGTATTCTCATCTTTATCCAGTGGATAATAATCAAACCAACGTGGAGTAGGAACTATGGAAGGTTTGAACTTTTTAGGAGGTGGTGATTCTTTTGGTGAATTTAAGTTTTGATCGGGACCATATATATCTGATGTGACCCTCAAAGAAGAAGCAAACTTAGGATATTTATCTGGATTGTTTTTAAAAGGTTTATACCAATCTGGACTAATGTTTTTAAGATAAAGCTCCTTCAAATCTGGTTTATGATTTTGGTCTTCAATTTGTTCCTGTTTAACCAGTTCCTCTTCAATAGCATCTATAGAAACGGATTTATCCTCAGATCTTTTACGCTTAATAGCGTTGTTTGGTATCATTTCTGGTCGATGACGACTTCTTGAATTTAAACCATTTGGATTATTTATTGGCTCTTCGAATATCCTATTGCTTTGCACCAATCTTCCTTGAACAATACCATTTGGTTGCTGCTGATCTACATCCATTTCATTCTCATTCCACCGTTCATGTCTTGGTGACGTTTCACCCCTTTGACTTTCCCTTTGAGGAGTTGCCTCAACCGACTCAAACAATCTCCTTATAAAATTCGGCACAGAAATAAATTTATTGATTAGAGCACGCAACCAGTTTATCGATGTATTGTCAACCTGTGCAGGTCGGTTATTATTCCTTGAATAAGGTGTGGCTAAATGTAGCCGTGCTCTACGATTTCTAGTAGGTCCTCCTGAGACCGTGAACCCACTTGGACTTTCATAAGTGCTGAGATCTGGAATAGGAAATTGCAGATCGAATTGATTGCCTCCACCGCTCATATTTAAACCTGCGTCCATTATAAGATCTATACAATACAACCTTTTGTTATTTGTAATATTGTTCTTCGAATTTAATTTTTATAAGATTTATTTTGCTTTCAAGTAATCTGTTAAAACTTAACTATCAATTTCATTTTTATTCAAAAATAGTATGTTGTATCATCATATAAACAATTATGTATCTCAAATTTGTTGATTGGCTAAAATGTAATAAAGATCGGGAAACGTGCAGAATTCTATCATGTGATACAGTTTCGCTATATATATGCGTTGATTTGTAAAAGCAGTCGCTCGATGTCATAAACGTTCAAATTCTGAGCTTTATTATACTTACCGCGATAGCTCTTTAAGAAGACAAGTACAGGGCAACCAGGCTCAAGGAGACAACGAAAGTCGAAACTTTTACATGTAAGTGCCAGGTTGTGTCTGTGAGAATTCACAATTTGCAGTAAATTTACAATAATATTATACAATTATTTAACATGGTATTTGTGTTATTTTCCAGCTATTCGGTTCATGCATACTTTTTTTGTGAATATCATACATTAATTTTGGGAAGTTTCTATGAATTTCAAATATAAGATGGCTAAACGCGATTTCATACCGTGCAATAAAATAAAAGTTAAGATTTCAGCAAAATATTTAAATCCCATTGTTGCCAAATATATTATTATAAAAACATATTATGTATTTTGGTGGGATCTATAATTCGTTTTGAAAAGATGGTTCTGAACATTTTTTTTTTCATATTATTAATTTGCTTTTTTTATACCACCAGATATACCACCAGATTAGTTCACGTGTAAACCAATTGATTCTGAATGTAAAAATTAAGTGATTTATCTTGGATCCATTTTTATCAAGACATAGTGATAATAATTAGGATGATAGTGATGAAGTCTCAACTTAAAGCTGTATTTTGGAAAAATGGTAAAATAATTTATTATAATTATTATTTTTATTTTATTATTTTATGTATTTTAATATAATTTGCATAACTGTAAATTCAATATAATTATTTATTTAGATTAATATTTTAATAGAAGTAGTACTATTAAGTTAATTAATATAAAAAATTTGATAAAACAATTTTTAATAATAATAATAAAAATTAAATAAATAAAAAATTTAAATTAAAAATCAAATAATAAAAAATTATTTTTTTAATATAAATAAATAAGTTAATAATATTAAAAAAATTAAAATTTGTTTTGAAATTAAAAAAAAAAAAATTTAATATAATATAATTATTTATAATTATATTAATATTTAATATAAATTAATTGTTTATTATTAGCAATCATTAATATCTATCTTAATTAGTAAATTAGTATATATTAATTATTACATATAAACTAATATTATCAATGTTAATATTAAAAACTCTTTCTCAAACTAACTAAAAACCAATAAAAAAGATTGATAAAAACAATAAAAATGTCTATTACAAGAGCTATAATTTTAAAGAAACAACCTTTACAGTATCAAAAACCAAAAAGAACTAACTTTACAAATAATACTCAAGCTACCAGTTTCTCTTCTAAAACAACTGACACCAGTGAATAAACTTCTTCTACAAAAAAAAAAAACTTTTGAATTTTCAAATGAACAAACTTAGCAAGATACCATTCAAAATATAATCATCAATATTATCAATATTATATTAGAACAAGATACAACTCCTATAATAAATACAACAACTACTAATACCTCTACTAAAACTGATAAACTTCTACTGAAATAGATGTTGAGTTAACTGTCGATTAAGTTCTTCAACCTTCTCCTACCGCTCCTAAACAAATTATCAATAAATCTATATATATTTATAATCTTACTAATAACTCACAAGTAACGTCATTTACCTCTATCGCTTCCTTTTTCAAAGTAAAGAAAAACAAACTTGATCTGATAAAATAGAAAACTCAGATATAATATCACATGATCAAGACATTAATGATCAATTTTTCAACATTATTCCTATCTTCACATAATTTTTTATGATTAGAGTTCTGAATAAGTTAGATTAAGCGAATTTTTGTCTCAAGTTATTTAATAAATAAAGATGCAAAAGATAATTCATTCTGATTGAATAATAAAAGACCATTCAAAAGAAATAATAATAAAATTGTTCTGATAGAATGATAAATTATCATTCTAAAGAAACAATAAATAATATTATTCTAATAGAACGATTAAACATTATTTTAAAAAAAACAATAAATAAAATTATTTTGATAGAATGATAATGTATCATTCTAAAGGACAAGAAATAACATTATTCCAATAGAATAATTAAATATTATTCTAAAGAAATGATAAATAAAATCGTTCTGATAGAATGATAATACATCATTTTAAAAGAATAATAAAAGAATCATTTTAATAGAATAATAAAAGATCATTCTAAAGAAATAATAAATAAAATCATTTCTTTAAAATGATAATGTATTATTTTATCAGAATAATAAGTAAAATCATTTCTTTAGAATAATCTTTTATTATTCTATCAAAATAATAAATAACATTATTCCTTTAGAATGATAAAAGATTATTCTATCAAAATAATAAATATAATTGTTTTTTTAGAATAATTATGCATTATTCTAAAGGAACAATAAATAACATTATTCCTTTAGAACAATTATGTATTATTCTATTAGAATGATAAATAAATCATTCTATCACAATAATTCTTTTATTGTTCTTTAAGAATGATATATTATAGTTTTATCAAAATGATTTTTTTATACTTCCTTTAAAAAAATTGTTAATTTTTACTCGAGTTCAGCTCAATTTTAAGCTCAAGTTTTACTTGACTTTAGGCTTAACTTTAGGCTCGAATTTTGCTTAACTTTTGGCTCAAGTTTAGCTTGAGTTATTTTGAGCCAAGTTAAGCTTATCTTAAAATTTGACTCAAGTTAAACAAATCAAAATTTTTTGATTTGACTTGACTTAACTTAACTCAACTCATTTGACTCAAAAGTTGACTCAGTTCATTCAGAACTCTATTTATAATAGCATAGCGGTCATGCTTAATTTTATCACATTTTGCCAATCATTTTCCAATCATTTGCTAATCATTTTTCATTTTATCACATATAATAAACACCGTAAAAATGATTTTATTTAAGTTAATTAGCTACGATTGAAAAATCCTACATAATAATATATATTGAAATTTTACATATAGCTAAATGTTATTACTATGTATTATAATATCAAAATTTATCGATATTGAACTAATATTGGATAACTTTTACTAAAGCAAACTGATTGCAATAACATAAAAAAAAGTGCTAAAATCAATTTATTATTTAAGTAAATTAACTCTGATTGAAAAATTCTACATAATAATATATACTAAAATTTTACATATAATATATATCATTATGTAGTATTCTAATATTAAATTTTACTAAAATTGAACTAATATTAAGTAAATTTTACTAGTAA